GCTAGAGCAGCCCAACTCGACCGGTTGGATAACTATGTATATCTATAAACAAGGGTTATATCCACAATGATCGCCAATAATCGAAACGATAGGCACCCGAAGAAGAAGAAGATGCCATCGTTGGCGAAATGGATATCCAAGGGTTTAATCATTGAACCTCGAGCGCAAGCAACAGTATTTGAACTGTATTTCTTAGCCATTGTACAAGCAACAATGTTAAAAATTTGTCTAATTTATTTATTTTTTTATTTATTTCAATTAATAGTAAACACATATAAGGTAAACAAAAACAAAAACTCCCATATAACTAATTTCTATTATGATCAGTACCAAGCTGGCGCATGGGGGTAACCGCAAAAATTGAAAAATCATTCTGGGATGCAATCCGAATAGAGTAACCATGTGAGACAGTCGCCAAACGGTCCGGTGATTTTAAAATGTTATTCATAATTGCTAAGGTGTATAACAGTTTAATAGTAAATAAGTCACACTCAGCAAACAATAACGCAGATGGGAAAGTACGGGACCTATGCATCATTATTTTAATAGCACATTTTTGAAACGTAATTAATTTCTGAAGATAAGAATCAGCTGCAGAGCCCCATGCCAAAGTGCCATACTGCAGGTTTGATTATATAACTCCAAAGTAATATATCTTAAAATGAAATCGCATAGATGACGTAATCTTTTAAACATGTAAGTACTACGTCAACCATCCTTGCAATATGAGCATTCCATCTCAAATGATTGTCAATTAATACACCCAAATAAGTAGCAACTTGCACAGATGTAATCCTTTTACAATTGCAATCGTCCACACAACAATCATTTTCATGAATTGGAAGGCTAGAAAACCAATTATTGGTATCCTTTCTAATGGTACACCTTATAAAATTTGACTTGCTATCATTTAAAATAAGTTTACTGCTGTTTAGCCAGTTATTTATTAATATGAAATCTGCTATAGCTCTATCTTCAACATCCGCCCAAGAACGGCCTTCCACAAACAGAACGGTATCATCCGCATAACAGATTAAGTCTCCATTGAGTGTTAATGAAAGCAAGTCATTTATATAAATTAAAAACAAAAGCTGACCCAAAACCGTTCCCGGTGGCACCCCGACATTCATCGATACCGAACAGCTGAGACTTTGACCAATCTTCACATATTGAGATCTCTTTTGCAGATAGTCCCACATTAATTTCAAAGGTATACCTCTCACCCCATAAATATCGAGCTTACGCAACAAAAACTGTAGTCAACCGTGTCAAAGGCTTTAGCTATATCCAAAAAATAGCTAGGCAAGGCCTTGATTTCTCAAAACTATTTTTAACTTTTGTTGTAAGTTCCGCAATGGCATCACTTGTTGATTTACCCTTAGTGAAGTCATATTGATTCTTAGAAAGAATACTATTTTCAATAGAACAAACAAATCAAGGATCTTGACAACTTACGGATTAGACAACGCAAGCTATTAAGTGGCTTGGCTTTCCTACGTAGATGCAGAGAAAAGAAAGTAACGCCAAATTTCCTCAGAGTGAAGCCCCATATCGACACCGCTGCAGCACGTAGGATCTTGATCAAGACAGAACAGGCGCTGATACGAGAAAGAATTCACAAAACCTTTAAAGATCTGCAGAGAATAAGTGAGGGGTTACTACGACTCCACCTCTCACTTTCTAATTCCATGGCAAGAGAAGACTGGGGCAAAGTAGACAGGATAACCATAGAGAAGGCGGAACATGAATTCAAAAGATGTCGGGATAAGCAGATTAAGAAATTCGAATCGTGGTTATTATTCGACCGTGGTTATGGACAGAAAGGAATACGACGACAAGATCAAGAGCCTTTTGGACCCAGCCACCTATAAGAAAATAAAAAAGGACCCAACCGAGAAGATAGTAAGGAAAATGAAAGAACTGGTAAAATCCACAGAAATCCCAGCAGATCAACAGAAAAGCTTATTCGTCTCCTTTTACAGGTAGAACAGAGTCATATGTCAGAGACTCCACACATTAATCAATTAAAAGCATGAAGCTAGACCCTCAGAATATGCTGGTAAGTTTCGACGTGGAATCTATTCACCAGAGTACCAGTCAAAGATGAAGTGGATGGTCTTCGCCAGAAACTCATCCCGGAGGGTTTGCCCAACTATGTCCCAGGACTAGTGAAGTACCGCCTATCGTCGACATACTTCAGCTGGAAGGGGGAATTCTACGAGCAATGCGAAGGGGCAGCCATGGGATCACCTCTGTCTCCTGTGATAGCCAATTTTTACATGGAGATGTTTGAAGAGGAAGCTTTAAAGAAGAGTCCTTGGAAACCGAAGCTATGGCTCCATTACGTCGATGACACTTTCGTGATGTGGCAACATGGAAAATAGCAACTCCAGAAATTTCTAGACCACCTCAATACACAGCACCCCATGATAAAATTTACCATGAAAACAGAAACTGCAAAACAGTTGCCATTCCTGGATGTGTTAGTCACTAGGAAGACAGTTGGGGACATGGAATTGGGAATATATCAGAAGAAGACGCATACGAATAGGTACCTGCAGGCTTCATCCCACCACCACCCACAACAGAAGAGGTCCGTGATTCAAACCTTATTACAGCGAGCATAGAGGATATGCGATAAAGAGAACCGAAGAAAAGAAGAAAGATTCTTAGAAGATGTGCTACAGAAGAACGGCTATGCGATGGGAGATATCCGACGAGCCAAAAAACCACGCAAACAGAAGGATGACTCGGTAGGTACGACAGCAGCCGGTTTTATCTGCCTTCCTTATGTTTCCGAAACGCCAAACATTTTTTCAAAAAACGCACGGCTTATCACAAAAGTTTCTAGGTCTAGTGTTAGTTCTAGTTTTAGTTTAATTAACACCGGCCGTGAAAGCCTTCGTACTTATAATACTATTTTCATCAAAGAAATTTATCAAACGTACATTTAATTATTTTTCAAAAATTTTTGCGAAATTATTTACTAAAGAAATAGGTCTATAATTACTTACACATTGAGGATCGCCACCCTTAAACACAGGTACTACCACAGCTTTTTTTAAAAGCTTTTGGAAAATAACCTAACACAAAACATCTATTAAATAAATTGGATAATGGAGATGCAATCAAATGAATAACCTTCTTAATAAGAATCATCGAAATATTACCGCACCCGGCCGAGTTGCTATTCTTTGATTTTTGAACAATATCCATAATTTCATACTGATTAGTAGGCGTTATAAAAAATGAATTCTCACAACGTTGTATACGTTTGAGATCTTGATCATCAGATACATACAAATTTTTCAATAATTTTTCAGCAACGTCTCTAAAGTACACATTAAACTCACTCGCAATACCCAATTCATCATATATCTTAGTATCGTTATCAATCTTAATGCATGATCTCGTAATTTATTTCTTCCAGTTAATTCCTTGCCACACTTCAAACTGTTAATGATTTTTTTAACATAGTATTATATTGCTTATATGCTGTTTTACTCTGGTTGTTTCTATCATCTAATCTGTACCGTTTATACAAGGTATCCCTAACATTTATAGATCTTACCACTCCGTCCGTAATCCAAGGCTTACGCTTCCTATTTTTGGTAGGAATTCTCTTTCTGAAAGAAGCACCGTCCCTGTGTTTAGTTATTTTGTCACATATAAATTTAATTGCATCATCAATATTCAAAGGAAGACTTGTGAAATCTTGTGAACCCATAGTGCTAATAAACTTGTTATAATTAATTATTTTCCTATACCTATTAGTTTCAATATTCTTATTACTATCACAACTATCAGGAAAGTTCACCTGTAAAAACATTTTTTTAATTAAGATGTGATCCAAACATCTTTTACTATTATTAAAAATTCTAGTATAATCACGGATATATAGTCACTAGTATAGTCTGAAATAGGCTTAGGGGAGGAAATTACGTTAATTTACAGTTTAGTAGAGGAAAAACTTTGGGTGCATGTAGATGTGGCTTGCATGATCAAAAAAGAATTCGCACATGCACTGAGAAATTGGACTGCTATATCAGAAAGATTCATGAAGCATGTTATGGTCAAGCAATTTTGGAATACTATACAATTGAAGTTGGAAGGGAGCAATGGCAGAAAAATGTTAGAATTCTGCATAGATAACCTGGTTTTGACTGACTCCTACTTCGAACATAAAGTAATGTAAGAAATAACCGCGAAAGCTAACAAACGTGTGTGAACTTCAAATAATTAATACGAGATAGAAACGAGCTGCATGTTGGCATGACGAACTTAAGAAGGATATAAAGAAGAAGAAGATGCTGTCTATCTAGTGGATAAAACGAAGGAAAAATACGAAGCTTACAAAAATCAAAGAATAAAGATTAAACAGATTGCATTGGACAAATAAAGAACAAAAAAAGAAAAAATTGGGTACAGAAACAGAGATAATCACTTTGCAAACCTCTTAAATAAAAATAATATCGAAAGCAAGAAAGACACAATGGCATTGATACAGACGGTGTCCAAGTCCTGGAAGAAAGTAAAGCGCAAGATATTTTAGAAGAAGAATTAAGAAGTGAGGTGAATGCTTTGAAGTTGTTTAAGGCTGCAGATTCCACTAGAAATATTGGACATGGGATCATCAAGTTGGTCAAACTTTATCCTTTTAGCATCACTATTGTCTTTTTTACTAACAGCTGTAATCAATATCATTTTCTTTGGTATCAGAACTTCTCAACTTTTCAATCATATTAAACACATCAAGCAGCAAAGCGAACTCATTACTATCAGAAATGTATATATAAAACAAAATTAAAAACTACCGTTTTAAAATTGTCATTTTGATATCAATTTTTAATTTTATTTTCTTGAAAATATCATATTTTTTTAAACCTTATTTCTAAAAACAAATAATATTTTTTGTTGATAATAGATATATTGTCTTATTATCGTTTGCGGTTTATACTAACCATATATAAACAATAGTTTTTGTAAGATAAGTGGTTCCGTTAATCGACCAAATATAAAAGGAATTGTTGAATATCAACAGTGATCAAACGTAAACTAAAATCATTGTGGACGTAAACTATTTAACAAACATGAGTGCCGACAATGTTGGTAAGTTTATCAGTTCAATTTATTGACCGAATCTCTTTTAAATTAATTTTTTTAGCTTTCCTTTGGCTTGAACGCGATATGAATTCAGAAAATAACATTTTCCCAGATTCCATGATAACTGCGGATGAGGATGTTGACGGAAACGAATTTTGTATAGGGAGAGCTTTGGTTAATAAAGTTATGATCCCTGCGAAAGTTGTGCCAAAAAAGAACATCGCTTACGTTGTCAATGATGGTGAACAAATTGCCGTTAAAAAGTTTGATGTATGTACATTTTAGTATTACATAAATTAATTCATATGTTATTTTATTCTTTATTTCTTAACGCAAAGATCCTCTATGTAAAACAATACAAATGGGTTCCGTGTGCTGACGGAGAAGTTCCTAAAGGCGCCATCGTTGGTGGAGAAGTTTCAGATGATGAAAAGATTTACATAGAAAGAGCAGAACACGAAGGCGTTAAAGTGGTCGGAAAAGTTCATCCAAAACTGAAGAAACTTTTTATTCCGTATGGTGGGAAGGAAATCGCTTATAATCATTATGAAATTCTTGTATTACATTAAAAAATACATTTAAAAAATTAACACTTAAAAAAATTGTTTTATTGTTTCATTTATTAATTTTGGTTAAGGTGGCTCTCAAAATGTTATACAGCATTTTAGTTCTGGTTTGGTTCCAAGATGCAAGAGCCAGTCTGGACTCATCACCAAATCATTGCTCTCTTCATTACGGTTCTTTAAAGCCAATTATTTCTTCAGCAACTTTCTAAACTGATTGTCTAACCGCTGTACTGCAAAAGAGTACATAACAATTAAAAATAGATAATTTGAAATTGTTAAGAAATCAAACCATGAAAATATTGCGCGGCTTAAAACCAATGACATATTGGTGGACACTTGAAATCTACAACCTTCGCAAAACCAGTTATGATAGAAGTCTGTAGAAACACTAGGCATCATTATTTTCTAAGAAAATATTCTACATAAAATACGGCGTGTGCAACTATTTATGGATCTGAGAGCATGGATCTTTCGTTCCAATAGTTTTTTTTTTAAATATGCTCCGATTCCTGAGTGTTACCATTAATAAGTTGAGAAAGATAGATCCTCCGACAAGGACTTCAAAATTAACATATAAGCAGGTCTAATAGAAAGTACAGTGATGCAAGATACATAAAGAATTTGACAACCTTTTGTTTTTGAAAGAAAAAAACATCATTCAAAAATGTTATCAAAGGATTTTTATTCAAATTGTGGTTCGAGTGGCGCAGAATGAAGCGATATCAGTCCCAAGCCCGGATGAAGAAGGAGTGTTGTGACCAGCAATCTGCCCCTCGTAAAAAGCTAAATCACTATAAACGTAAAAGCCAGCCATGGAAGAATAGAAAAAATCGGAAATGATACATGCTTGGAAAGGATATAGGTATACAAGAATTGACAATAAAAATAAAAGAAATAGTCGACACGCTACCGACAAAAAAGACTAAATAGCTGTGTAAGCAGAAATCAAGAACACAATCGAAATGGAGTTAATAAAGAACGCGCCTAACTCATTGTTGGAAATGCTGGCAGCCGTCTTTCAAGATGTGATTGACGAAGAAATCCCGAATGCTTGGAAGGAAGGATCTTTAATATATTAAATACTAAGTAAATTTGCTTTAAATTGCATTTATTTCATGATGATATCTCAATTTGTTCTTGAGGTATGGCTTTTTAAAATTCCTTATTTCAAAGCTATAACAATCAAACGTTGGATTTAAATAATCATAACACCTATGTTTATGGAAAATAAGAAATTATTTACTGCACATGGAATCTTCATCAAATTTACTTTAAAATGTACTTTATTTCATGATGATATCTCATGAATATCATATTGGTATCATTCTATGTATTAAATTCTTCATTGTGTTTAGGATTTAAATCTTAGGGTGGTTACTATAGTAATCTAAGGTTCTATTGCAAGAAGAGGTCTTCTTATAGCAGGTTGTGTAAATGTTGTTATTGTTATGGTCTTGTATTATTTTCAAATCTAAATATGGTATTTGTTCTTCTTTTTTCAATTCTACTGTGAATTTTATTCTAGTATTATATTCATTGAATAACTGTAGTCAAAATCAAAAGTCGTGTTTTAATCAAAACACGACTGATTATTTTTATTAATTTCTCTTTTAGAATGTAATATGTAATTTTCGTTTTTTCTAAATTAATTGTACTGAAAATGTGCTCAACACAAGCACTGCTGTGTGGTAAAACCAACAGTGCACTAACAAAGTTATGAAGATTACAAACTTTTTTCCAAAATTGCAAAGTTTCTAGACTTGTATCTATTTCAGCACTACTCTGAAGCAATCTCCATTCTCTATCTAAATTATTGATATCTACAACTAAATGAGGGAAAAAAGTTGCTACCGGTCCCAATGAATTAACGGATTTGATATTTTCTGGATCTAAAAATGTCAATAACTTAATTACACACCACAATAAATGTTGTCTAAAGATTTGTAGTGTTCGAGATTTCGATACTGAATCCTCGTTACATCATTATTATTAATGTAATCTGATTTTATATAGCAGTTTAAAATAGTTTTGTATGTTCTTACTTCTCTTGTAAGCGGTATCAGCCTGATCGGATGCCATCTTCGAATATCTTTCACTCCTCCAAATAGACCTACACATGGCCGAAGTAAACCGTGAGGATGTACAAAGGGACCGTTGGGGCCCAAGTGCTTTGGTTATACCACCTGTGGTTTAACCAACCTCACATGAAACTACATACATACACAAGATGCACATAAAGGCTAGCGAATGACACACACATTTTATGACAAATAAGTTTGGCACATCTTTCATTAGCAACGTTTTTAATGAATGATGGCCACCCTTCACAGCATTAGTCCCATTTGCTGCAAATCCGATTAGATTATCTTTAAAAGTCTGTTATTACATTATACAAATTATTTGCGGTTGCATCACTTATTGGCAAAAGTGCCAAAAACTCGTCAGATATAGCAAAATTATTATTTATGCGCACTACAAGTGCCAAATGTTTTACAGCACTTTTATCTGTAGATTCATCTACCAATAATGAGAATTTATTTTTTTGTATTATGTTAACTAAATTTTCGAAACTAATTTGACCAATTGCGTTATGGATTAAAGCGGTACATTTTGTTCTGTGACACAAAATTTTTTGTTTTGCATTTGCACCTAAATTTAAACTTTTAATCAAAGATACTAAATGATCTACAACAGTTATAGCAATGTTATGCTCAACTATGAACGAAGCTATTTTAATTTCAGCTGTTTTAATAAGTTTTTCACTTGATTTTTGATTTAAAAATGTTTTCATTTCTGTTACAGGTTTTTGTTGTTTGACTACATTCATTTTATTTACATGTTTCAAAGAATTACTATGTTTTTTTACCGCAGCAACTCCTCCGATGTAATCTTTTGCGCACACCGCACATTGAAAATGCTTGATTCCTTTACCGCTGGATCGAATCCAGGCTTTATATTCGGGCATTTGCTCCCATTTAATCCGGTATTTGTGGGCATAGAATTTTTTTACTACTAGAATATTTTTAGATGTAGATGGCTTGGCATTGTTTTCATCATCGCTGCTGCTTGAATTACCAGACATTCTAATAAATAAATGAATCAATTAATAAAAGGAATAACCTTTTTATATTGAAGTTGGTATTTATTTGTCGAGAAAAATATCAAAAATATATTGTTCTCTGCTTAAAATTGTTGCAAAAACGAATTTTAAGTTATATCATAAATTTTTAGATCACTTATCTGTAACATTTAAATACACCAAAAAAGACTTATTAATATTTAAGACGTTGCGTGGACTTGTAGACTATGAAAACTACAACAACAGAATGATGTTAAACTTCCCGCGCACCCTTTTATAAGCTCTAGGATTGATATTTTTCAAGGGATTTACCGATCTCTGTTAAAGTAAATTCGAATATCTATTCCGTTTAAAAACATCCCCGGATTAGAAGTCCGGGGATTTTTTAATAGACATAAAAGCGGGCCAAAATAAATATAATTAAAAAAATAACTATAACTTTTTAATTTGTAATTATAATTAAAATCATTTATTATTATATATTTTTTTAATTGTAAGTAATAAATTGTACTCGCGTTAATATAAAATTTAAACAAAATAAAATGCTATCTAGTGGCCAAAAGCTGTAGCTGTATATAGAATATATGTTACCGGCAATCTGTATAATCCGGTATTCTATACAATACCTAGGCAACTTATAGAATACCTAAAACGTTTAGGTAATACATGAAATATTATTAAGTTTATACTTTGCCTAGGTATTCTATAAAATACCGAATGCGAAGCCGGCAATGTGTGTAAAAGGCGAGAAAATGGAATATCTTTGGTATATCTTTACCTCTCGATCATACTCATAACCTGGAGAGTGAAGAGGATCTAGAAAATGTGATTAAGTCATCACCAAGTATTCCCATTCCTTCAGAATCTTTAATATAGAGGTCAATCTCGAAGCTCTACATCAACAAAGTTCTGACACATGATCCGAAGTGCCGAGATTCTTAATGAACCTGCGAATGTTGAAGGTCTTCCTTCTGGGGTACATAGACAATCCTTAGATGTTCTAAATTAAGAACGTGAGTAATCATTGGATTCCCCACTCTTGTGCTGTGTTTGTACTGAGGAGACAACGGGTGCTCATTCGTGTAGAACATGCAATAAACCCATTCATGCTATTTATCCTGCTCCGGAGAAAGATATGGCAGAAGGCTATGGTTCTAAAGTTGTTTGCCCATTATGCTTCAAAACGCTTTAGCTGTAGAGAACTGCATCAGTTCAGAAAGCTCAGAAAACGTTTAACATTTCTGAAAAAAAATCCCCCTGTGCCATTGGGTACCACTGTAAGAATCCCTGTTCCGAAAGTCAACAGAGGTCATGGTGATGCTCGCAATATACTAATTGTAGTCTTACAAAAAACGGATGACGAATTTTATAAAATAGGAACAACGCAAGGTGTTGTAAAGAATTTATATTCAAGGCAGCACTTTACAGTTTGTCATCAAGAACTACTTAAAAAAGAAGATGTCCCTAATCTAGAAACGACGCTCCATACAGTTACGAATCTGCAATTTACGGGGACAGGTCAGGGATTTATTAAATGTACTTGCAAAAAACACTGTGATACTAAAAAGTGTCCATGTGTTAAAAGTAAGATTTTATGCACTTCAAAATGTCACAATAGTTCCTCATGTAAGAATAAATAAATATATTTTTTTACTTACTCAATTCTGAGAGGCCAGTAGATCTACTATTACTTGATTACTTATAAGCAAAAGACATTATGTTAGTTAACCCAGAAAAATGTTAAGTTTAATGTAATTTAATTGTGATTTTACTATGGTTACAGAAAAGTACTAGGTGCTTTTTTTGTACAATAACTTATAGATTGTAAAAAAGTTTATTATGACTAAAAATTGATAAATACAGACTAAAATCTATTTATTTTACACATTGGCGATTGACCAACAGGTACTCTATGTAAACCCTAAGAATTGTATACATTACCTAGGTAAAG